TGATCCCTAATAATATTTTATAGGAACTGTAATTTATTTAAGTGTTGTCTTTATATTGTTAAATACACATATAATGGTTTGTAAGAATGTCATTGAGAGAAAAAAAGAGGAGGAAAAGAATACTTGATGGTCATATAAGAAGTATATTAGCCTGCAGAAGCAATGTGACAATGCAAACATCTCAAGAGGAGCAAGCTCCACCCATTCTCTTCATCCATAAAGATGAGAAATATACTTTCAGTATTTAAAGATTCTCCTACTGTAACCTTACAATAAAGGTAGTGTTCCTATATATGGTTGGTGGTTCTTCTCTGGATTACCACCAAGGCTGGCATGAAGATTACAAAATCCCTCATGAATAAGAAAGGAATGGGGGCTCAATTGGGAGATGAGGATATTTTTATTTGTTTTACATTTATCATATAGGAAATATCGAGTGTCTGTTTCATGTAGACATGCCATCATCGGTTTGCGATAACAAACTGTTTGTGCATTTGCTAGCTTGAACCCATAAGAAGAAACCCATTGCAGAAATATATTTTTCCTTTGCAGTTTCCCCTCTTCAAAATAGGGCAATTAAAAAAGTCCAGGCTGAGAAATCTATGACATCATTTGATATGTTTTTTTTCTCAGGATTGTCAAAGTACCTGCTGCGATGCTGCAACTTGTGAGCTGAAACCTGGAGCACAGTGTGACTCTGGAGAGTGTTGTGAGCAATGCAGAGTAAGATTGCTTTGTTTTTAACACCAAGAGAGATTTTACCCTGCTCCATATTAGCCATATAAAAATGAAATATCTCTTGGCTATTTACTATGATCAAAACATTTTAACCTCTTCTATCCCCTTTTGCAGCTTATTTGACCCTTATGAACATATCCACAGGGAAGATAATGTAACAAAATTTCAGCCTTGTTTTCATCGAAAATGCACTCTTTCTGTACATTAAATCTCTGAAAACAATACATTTGTTCTTTGATTGACTTTGCATGGAAGTCCAATTTAAATAAGGGTGGCCAATATTTGAGATTGATGCCCTAACTTAGCTCCTTTGGAAGGTTCTGGGATGTCTCTGGTAATGCTGTGACATTTTTCTCACTGAGATTTTTAGGATGGAAATAGGTTTAAGGTTTAAGAGATTTCTGGAAATAAAATTGCTTCTCTCCCACCCCCTCCTTAAATTCTCTAAAGCTCTAAATTCAGTTTTTTGGTGGCACATTCTGGAGGTGCTGCAGGTTCATGAAGAGAGAGGTGCAATTTCCTCATTCCTTCCATATGGGATCCCAGTTGACTCTGCAATGAACTTTTTGAGCAGAGAGGCCCAAATCATTTTGTTCTTTTCAAATGTTCATCACAAGCCCAGATTCATAGGAAGAGAAGAAATTTTTCAGCACCACAGAAAATTCTGTGAATGCTTCTTCCCATGTAAGGAAATAAAAATATATGACAAGAAGTTCATCAATTAAACTTTGGTTGCTTTTTCATGGCAGCCCAATTGATTTTCACTTCATGGTCAGCCAATATGTAAGTCTTGTGTTTCAGGAATCGGGCCTTTCATTGCAATCATTTNTATGCCATGAGCTATATATCAGAAGGTGACAATATATTATAATGTTTCTGGAAGAGTCTAACTGTGCTCTGATTGGCAAATAAGCAGGTTACATCAGATTACAACGTTCCCAAATAATGCTTCTGAACAATATTCTTAGCAATCCTAATGACAAACATGAATCACTCTTATTTTCTTACAAGAAATTTAGGATTAGATTGCATATGATTGAATTAATGTGCATTGAGAAAATGAGGGAATACTAAATCTACTTAAAAAAAAACTTCAGTATTTTAAGACCCTACAAGAAAATTATATTTATATTTATTGCATTTATTGAGAAACAAAAAAAAAACTTTTTTTTTTGTTCAAATAGAAAGAATGGAGAGACATGGCAATAAAAAATACTTATACAACAAAACTCATAAAGTTATCTTTCTTAAGAAGCAGAGTTAGGATACAAGTAATATGAGGTAATTCTAAACTCAATAAGGTCATTTTTATCCAGAAAGAACAACTCATTTGTAAATCTGTTTAGGGATTCAGCCTTCAATATTCTGAAAATACTAACTCACACAAAAACCACTGAAAATTTTTGAACAGAAATTGCCTGTAAGTTTTAATAACTAAATGAATGCAGACAGCAAATGGATGGATAGGTTTTGATCTTCTCTTGTGCTGTAGCTTCCAGGCTTTAAAGTTTTCTTCTGGATGTATTTGTGTATGTTCTCAGTCTTGGTGGGTATAAATGCATTCAGAAGAGCTAGCTAGATGAATTCTGAGATGGTATCCTCAACTCAAAATATTTCACTTAGACATCATTTTTAGACACTTAGTGTTAATGATAATTGGATTCACTTTCAGTTTCTTGGCAGACTAACAATAAACAAAGTATTCTCTTTTCCTTAGGATCATACCAGAGAAACAAGTTTTATGGCGAATACAATGGCCCATGAGTTGGGTCATAATCTGGGCATTCGTCATGACACATTTGGCTGTAATTGCTCTCCTAACAAATGCATTATGACTTCACACCTAAAGTAAGGATTGAGGAACACTTTTAATGCCTTTCCAATTAAATTATTTTTAAATACTTGCAATTAACTGTGAAATTAAATATAGTGAGGACTTACAAAAATTAAATAGCCAGGGAGTTATAAAAAAGAGGGATTGGGTCATTTGTGTGTCACTTTACTATGTGTAGTTAAAATGTGTCATATTTAAAAAGGTAAAACTGCTCTCAACAATTGAATAGCCATCATTCAGTAGCTTCCTCCAAAACACAAGAGTTTAAAGAAACAGAATAGGAAGCATAGCCCAAGAAACAAAATATATGTGATGGATAACAGAGGAAAGTAGATTAGACATTAAAGACTTTCCTAAAATAGGAAGCAGAAGTGGTGGTGGTGGGGAGATTATTCTGAACCATGCAACAGCAGAAAGAAAGGGATAAATTACTGTCACAGCAGAAAGAAAGGGATAAATTACTGTCAC